AAACTGTTTTTGTGCATCGAGCACCATCCAAGAACCATTTATTCCCGTTCGTGTTTGCGATTGTGCACCAAGAATTGCCCATACATAAGTTCTTATTGATTCATTAACTCTTACAACTCCTTGGTTAGTAAAATTATTTTCTGTTTTATCATTATGAAATTATTTCCAAGCTTTTGTGGTATTGTTTAGTTGCACAAATTTTGTAACAATATAAGCCAAACCACCCTTAAAACTTGTAAGGTCTCCTCTCCAATTGTTACTCGAAAGTTCCCAACCGTGATAAAGATTATGCATTCTTACAAAAAGATTGTTTATCTGTAAATCATCACTTTCTTCTGTAACAGTTCTTTGTCCACTGTACGGAACACCTAGACCATGGTTAACTCCTTTAATACGCCAATCTTTACTCGTAGAAATATTAAATTCATGACAAATATGTTCGAAGGCCCTCTTATCATATGGATTATTTGATGCATTCCATGCTCGATCCTGTGGTAATGGAGCACTAATTTCTTTAAGAATACGTCTAATCTGATAGTATACGTGAAATGATAAAACAGACTTATTTAGTTGAAATTCTGTGGCATTAAGATATACATCACATCCTATTGTGGTACACCATATGGCAAAGTTTAACTGGTTCTGCCGAAATTGCATTGGTTTGTGGATACTTGAGTGTAACGCTCTATATTATAAATAATGGTTGATTCATCGGGCCCTGGATCGCATAACCTTAGACAATGTAATACAAATGCGCTTTTTGATCTCGGAGACGTAGAAGGATTAGGTAAACCCGGTATCGATGGCAAGTTATACACTTCACACTTACAAGATAATGTATACAAGCGGAAAGAAGTTGCATTCACATGTAATCTAGGAAATTTAAGTGATGTCGACGTTAGTAGACTGGATAAAAACACTTCGTACTCGGGGCTTATATGCCCTCAAAACGAAAAAGTGTGTTAGTCTCTCCCATGCCAGAAAACCCAGGTCATATGTTATTTAGTCGTCCGGTAGTAAAAAATGTTAGTTTAAATATGGTTACTAAATTCAATGATATTAAAGATAACTTGAGTGCAATACCTTATCTTTCTATGCTTATTATTGAAGTCTTGTTTGGCGATGCATAAGAAGATGCCTTGGAAATATTACCAAGTCTATCAATTAAATGGCTTAAGAAACAAGAACGTCGACGTTGTAGTATTATATATGTAGGAGCATCACCTGTTGCAACCCTTGAGGGGGTCCAAATTATTAAAGGTGATAGCATTTCTCTTACTTAGATATTTATGCCCTATAATATACATTTAATGGGGCTGATGTATACCCTCAAAAGATTGAAGCAAGACCAATTAAAGACTATTATATGATATAATAATATACATTATGGGTTTATATCCGGCGCTCGATGAAGCATCTGAAAAGATGAAAAACTGTTAATGGATTTCGATTACATCAAATAAGCGACATAAAACATTGAATAGAAAGGTTGAGATTTGGATTGTATAAAAAGTATCGCAGAGCCGTGAATGCTCCTGACGGAGTTGACACTGCGCTTGTAACAGCTAACATTGGACTCGGTGTAGCCATTGTTGGTTTACTATCAACTATAACTAATCGCCACGCCACAGGAATAGCAATAAAATTCATTTCTCGTAAGTTCCTAAAGAAAGCATTAAAACATGATAATATTCAGATACTTGCCGAAGCAAAGTTGAACAGCATAGATGATCATATTTCAACAGCACTGGCTGATTGTAAGATATCCGAGGAGGAGTTTCGTTTAGTGTTGTCAGAACTCACCAAACACAACACAATGAAACAGGTGATTCGATCCAATTCTCGTAAGACCAGTGGTATTATAGAAGACGAGAAAAAAAAGTTCATAGAACAGGGGAGACAACAAGTGCGTCAATTATTCCATGCCAAAACCAAAGAACTGGTTGGAGATTAAAAATAGATTGCTTGATCACGTTGGGTTGTACCGCATAAAAAAATCATACATTCATTTAAACGAATGCTTACATAATTATATAACAATGGAGAATTACAAACCAACAAAGGAAGAACTCGAAAAAGCTATTGAAGCATTTATGCTCAGGGAGAAAATTATCAAATGGAGAGAATTACCACAAGGTATATATTATATCAATGATATCAAACCAACCAAATACGGTCATCAATTGTTTCTTTCCAATTACCAAGAAGTGTATATAGTCTGGTCTCTTAGTAAAATGAACGAAGAACTTAGTAAAAATGCTGAATATCACTTTGTTAAAAATAATCGTATGCGTATGAGTAAAAATAATAGAGAATATTTTCATTACAATTTAGTTTAATCTCATCATCGTTTTTGTACTAAAAAATTCCCTCTGTGGTATCATTGATTGGCTCCAGGTGGTGATGAGCTAGAACCAATTTAACTTTATGTCATGATCATCATTTGTGCACAACATCATTTTGACATAAGAAATTCCACCTGTAGTAGCAGTATAGGTATATATAGAGTTCACAGATCTGGATGTGGGATGGAATACAGAGAATCTGACTTTGTCGACGAGTTTGGGTGGATAATTGGTGAAGACTTGGCGGAGGTGTTTCGATCTCAGGTTTGGGGTGAGCAGGTTGAGGTTGATAGCTTGTCTGGCAAATAAAGAAGTTTTTATCGATAAATTGTCTCTACTTTGTTTTACTGACCTCAACAGTATAAACTGACAATTTTAACAACTATGCATGCTGTGTTATATGGCAGTGTATTTTTGGGTGTAACTGTGTGACAATGTTTCTGTTGTAACTCGGTACAAGTTCATTGCATTGTATTTGGACAGTGATAAGTTGTCAGAAATGTAGTACGGTTTAATGTAAGCAGTTTTGAGAAAGATACCATAGATGATAGTGTCATGTGTAAACTTCCAGAATACCTTGGACTGTGATAGTGTTTTATAGAAACATGTGGATTATTCTATGTTGTAAGGGAATGTGTGTAAGTTTCAAGTAGTTAGTAGACTATATATAAGGGGGCCTCTGATATCTCTCTCACACATTTCATTACATCAAGACCAGCTTTCTTGTGAATATCATCATCCCTGATTCCCTGCCTTGATCTTTCTCAGAAGCTTGACCACTGTCAACTGACCAGTGCCATCATATTATATACTGTCATTAAATTTTGTACTGCCACTCTATTGTGTATTTGCTATGCAGTAATTTGTATTGATTTGTAAACCTAGGTAATTTTGTAATTCACTTGTTGATTCTTCTCCATTTGTTGGTTGCTTGTTTGTTTCACACTAACTTCTTGTACATACAGATTTATGTGTAAACATATTGTTTCAATTTGGGAATCGACATGCAACAACTGATAATTTAGATACATGTTAAAACAGTGTCATAAGGTAACTGAATACATAAATTCAAATACATAATAAGACGTATTTACTATATCACTAACTTGTAAGGAGGATCTCAGTGATCAACTTACAATTCACGCAAAGGACGGTTGTGGTCACCCAATACGGTTGGTGTGCATGTGAAATGCTGAGTGCTAGGATGTCTAGACTGGAACAATCAGGTGTACATGTAAGCTGACTTAAACAGAAACAACAGAAAACATTCTAGAATGGCCCAGCCTACCTGTCATACACCACAACTAATTCTTGTTGATGCTCAGGCTTAAATATACAGTTGATTAATAAAAGCACAAAGCTTAAGTTCATATTCTGCTGAAAAAAACATTGTAGAGTACAACAGCTGTAAATGTTCACTACATTTAAAGGCCAATACATCATTTCAATTCAATATGTACAAATATGCAAAATACAGAGAGTGCCTGTATATTAAACACTGCCACATGTATAGTCTTTTTCACGTGTTTGTGACTTTGTCTTTTATGTAAGCTCTGACATTTTTGTTAGTTTATATGATGTTTTACAATAATCAGTTGGATGTTACATGTATACAAGGTGCACTGCTAGAACACTGACCTTACTTAATGTGATATTTTGCGTTTGTTGTTGCAAACAAACTTACATAAATAAATCACTAACTTGTAAGGAGGATCTCAGTGATCAACTTAAAATCCACGCAAAGGACGGTTGTGGTCACTCAATACGGTTGGTGTGCATGTGAAATGCCTTAGTGCTAGGATTTCTAGACTGGAACAATCAGGTCTAAGCTGACTTAAACAAAGAAACAACAGAAAACATTCCAGAATGACCCAGCCTACCTCTCATACACCACAGCAAATAATTGATTAAGCTCAGGCTTTAATATACAGTCGATTAAAAAAAGCACATAGGTTAAGTTCATACTCTGCTGAAATAAGCATTGTAGAGTACAACAGCTACATTAAAAGGCCAATACATCATTTCAATACACTATGTAAAAATATGCAAAATACAGAGAGTGCCCGTATATACAACACTGCTACATATATAGTCTTATTCACGTGTTTGTGACTTTGTCTTTTATGTAAGCTCTGACATGTTTGTTAGTTTATATGATGTTTTACTGTAATAAGTTGGATGTTACATGTATACAAGGTACACTGCTAGAGCATTGACCTTACTTAATGTGATATTTTGCGTTACTGTTGCAAACAAACTTTCATTAATAGTGAGTGAGTGAGTTAATATTTAACGTCACATCGGCAAAATTTCAGCCATATCGTAACGAGAAGTAATACATTAATAACACATATATGAAGACTCTATAAAAAAACCTGTCATCAAAGGACAGTACAATAACTAGAATATCACAGAGTCTATCTAAAACTAGTTGAGGAACATTTAAAAGCAGAAAGAATTAACAACACAATATAAAAATGGGCTAGAGATCGTCAGTAACTAAAGGAAGATCACCATACCAGGGATCATGGTGACTTACAGTGCCTTTGCTTCCTACATGGACCTTTCATAAAGAAGTCACACTCTTCGTTTCATAAGTGATACATATTTGCAAGTCTACCTCTGTCAATCTTTCATAAGTCTTTTCTTTTCCAGTGCCCACAACTGAGCATGTCAGGGTCGGAAGCTATGCCACGTTGTCATGGACTCTCCCGGAGCCTGGGACCAGGGAGTTCAGTGTGTGTAACAGTGAGACAAAGACATGCCTTTTTCACGTCACAAGCCACAATCATGTCAGAGCTGCCAGTGACAAGTTCACATCTAGACTGAGATTCATTGGACACGTGTCATCATCAGGAACTGGTTTGTTTAGATTCGTGCTCTCTGATGTAAGTTGGGAAGACGAAGGTCATTACAAGTGTTACAGAGGCTCACCAGGATCATTGGGACCAATCATCCCTGACTGTGGACAGAAGCTTGTAGTGCAGGGTAAGTAATATTCAGAAAGTTCCGTCCACTATCTCATACGTATCTGTTGCCTACCAAATGCCTGAAATATCACTTTGATATTCATACTGTTTGATAATCTTGACATCTTGATTAGCTTTCTCACAATGTATTTGTTGGTTTACATTTTAGAAACTGTTGAATACCACGACTAACACATACATGTATATGGATATATTTTTTATTTATTGGAAATGTAGTTCTGGACAATGTACATGTTGTGTTGTTCAATTAGAGACAACCTTCTGCATAGCTCTGACACTGTTATTGCATGTGTTTACTTTTCGTTGGTCAAGCAGCTATCGTTGCCAATATAAATGCTACACCTTGAATGCTTGTGCATGTAAATGACAATTATGCATATACAACAATGAAATATGTCATGATGATGATTAAGAAAGGTATATTGATCTACAATCATGACCTTTCTTAATTTTGCTTGTAATACTGACATGCCAGTTAAACTTGGTGCTTCGATTTTTCTGTTTCATTCAAAAATTCCTAAAAATCCTGCCAGCATAAACACCAGAGATGTATCACTTAAACAAGAAAATACTTCTTAACATGCTTATTCTCGTATGTAACAACATGACTGCAGCACGTAAAACACAACCTCTTGTGATGCTTTTAATCAACCGGGCCCACTGCACAGAACATCCTTAGATACCATCGACCATAGGTGCTTACAATCCACTTTACAAAATACATGCCTGAGTCATATTCCACTTGCACAAACTGATCTTTGCGCTGTTGTAAGACAGTTTGGATTTTAAATCGCGATCTTGCCTAAGATTGAAACCTTCAACAGTGGACATATGATTACCTTTAATTTGATTTCTGTGAAGTGGCTGCAAAAGCGCATAGTTTGCTGCATATATCTACAGTTGAACCGGTTAGGTGCCTTCCATCATACCTTGCACCTTGTTTTAACAAAGCTTTAAAAAAATCAAAGGAAAATATAACGAGGATGAATGACTATACTTTCATTTTTCTTTCTTCCTTTCCTCCTGGATGGACACTTTCAAGATGTAAGTGTTATGATTTTGTAACAATAGCAAGATATATACCCCCACCATGTTTTATAAAACTGTTGAAATTCGAAAGAACACCTCCATAAAGTTGGCTCTAGATTTAGTAACTGTTCAGCGTTCTAGAAGTTATGGAGTACATAAGGAGTACATATTTTAAAAAAAAATCATTATACTTATGTCACTAAGCTAAATAATGAAATAATGCTATATGTGTTCCTTATCGTAATGTAATATCATAAATGTTATGGAAATTAACATAAACAATAAATAATAACAGCAATATTTTCTCGTAACCTAACATTAAAATGTATAACCGACCGGTGTTTTTTTTTAGAATTACCTGTCCCTGCCACAGCAAGCTGCACATCGACTGGGAGATCCCAAGTCAAACTAGGGGTTATAATCAAGCTACCCAAAGCCAACATTATCAAAAGTTGTTCAAAAAGGTACTAGGGGGTAGGGGGGTCCTGATCGATAAAGGGGCGATATTAGACATGAGTAGGTATCTTTCTACAACCACGAGGACTCAATCAAGTCGGCCATATTAGGTGACATATGCTGCTTTTAGGAGGCCATCCAGTATAGGGGGGTAGGCTAAGAACTTCTGGGGACGTGCTCGTGTTTTATACTATAACGACGATGCCAACGACTGTACAATATTTAATGATCTTATTTTTGGAGACGTTGAACTAAATCATGGGGAACTGACTCGACAAATTGGCAGTTCTGGACGAAGAAGGAGATTTTCTAAGGCACTATAATAACAACTGGTGTTTACCGACCAGGGAATGTTTTATGATAAAAAAACCCATTGACTATCTACAGGTTCAGCCATTTCCAATTTCCTCCACTAGTTATTGGATACTTTTAGTAAATAGTCCCCTTCTCCCTTAATCCCCCCTTTCATGCACGCAAAAATATAAAACATATACTTATTGAGATCTTTATATAATTCATACAATAAACTAATGTTCATTCAGTAAGATATTGATGGGTGTAAGGAACAGTCCCTTTGAATATTTATGATTCAACACACAAACTTATGTACGGTTTGACAGATTATAATAAGATGAATATCAAAATTCATCAACACTTGCCAAGTTCACCAATATGTCACCAATTGGAAGTTGTCACAGATTATTATCATCAGTTATAGGTTTTACGTAATGTATAGCTTTGTTAGAGTTAAACTATAGCAGGATATAGTAATATAAACAGTTAGGCTATTTGTTAGCATAAGGGGCCTGGTAAATATAGGAAAACAGAAGTAAAGTCTAGCCTTAACAGGGACAGGACGTCGATCTATCTGAAGCATTGTTTTCACACAACAGCCGATAATCCCCCAGCTTACTATGCTATACTCGCGAGAGAAGTTTCTACTCTTGTGAGCTACTGCGAGAGTAGGCTTCCTTCCCGGTGTAGTAGGCTGAAATGACTCCACAGGCTCAGACAACTCTAGAGTTATTTGAGCCTAGGCTCATATGACTCCCCTTAGGCCTAAACGACTCACCCGTCGTAGGCTCAGATAACTCCCTAGCCTCAAATGACTCCCCCATGTTTTCAACAGTCTGTTAATGTCATACACAAATAATATATTTTCGATGATACAGTACAGTATTTTCGATGGTTGCACCCCATTTATTTTACAGCTTGTAAAATTTCCAGATTTTTTGCATAATAAGATTTTATGTGATAAATTTGAAGGACATAATCAAGTCATTTTGTATAAACTTTTTACATACAGTTACACATCAGCAACCTTATTTTCTGACATAATAGCTGGATATGATGTGATATTAACGTTTTACTGCGATACTTGTTTATCTTATGAAAGATTTGTATTCATTATTCAGTTTGATTTACTTTGTATTTCAAATAATACTGCACCTGATGTTTGACTGGAATGTCTGTAATATTTTTAAGAAAGATAATTATATTGTCACCTTGACCTGTTTGACAATCTTCTTTTCTGTATGTAAAATGTTGATATGCATGCACGATCATTACGTAACAAAATCAATGGAAATCTATATATTTAAAACATATGAAACAAATTACTTTACCTAATGTGATATGATAATAAGTTTCCTTTTTAAGGTTATTTATATCGTCAAATTACCATATTGTGAAGTTTAAATGTGCTTTGTGTTCAGAAATTATTTCTTTGAGTACGAAGTCGGCGCGATCATGGTTGTATTAGGTAATAGGTGGTTAATACACTTATGTCTCTTTATACACGAAAACTAATCGTCTTGTTAATTATAATTATCCCCCGCCCAACGAAGGCTCTGTGAGGGTAGGGTTCGTTTCCGGAGCATAACTTATAAACCGGTCAATATTTTTTCATCAAACTTTACAGGTCTGTCAGGTACATGCTGAACTGGTGCCTTTTGCTAATGAGAAATTTTAGAATTTTTTTATTTTTCACGTTTCCATGGCAAGAAGATGGACTTAGGTTCTGTGAGGGTAGGGTTCGTTTCCGGAGCATAACTCATAAACCGTTTAATATGCATCAAACTTTGCAGGTCTGTTAGGTACATGCTGAACTGGTGCCTTATGCTATTGAGAAATTTTGGAAATATTTATTTTTTACGTTTCCATGGCAACAAGATGGACTTAGGTTCTGTGAGGGTAGGGTTCGTTTCCGGAGCATAACTCATAAACCGTTCAATATTTTTTCATCAAACTTTACAGGTCTGTCAGGTACATGCTGAACTGGTGCTTTTTGGTATTGAGAATTTTTTGATTTTTTGATTTTTTGACGTTTCATGGCAACAAGATGGACTTAGATTCTGTGAGGGTAGGGTTCGTTTCCGGAGCATAACTCATAAATCGTTCAATATTTTTTTATCAATCTTTGCAGGTCTGTCAGGTACATGTACATGCTGAACTGGTACCTTTTGCTATTGAGAAATTTTAGAATTTTTTTATTTTTTACGTTTCCATGGCAACAAGATGGACTAAGGTTTTGTGAGGGTAGGGTTCGTTTCCGGAGAATAACTCATGAACCGTTTAATATTCATCAAACTTTGCAGGTCTGTTAGGTACATGCTGAACTGGTGCCTTTTGCTATTGAGGAATTTTAGAAATTTTTATTTTTTACGTTTCCATGGCAACAAGATGGACTTGGATTCTGTGAGGGTAGGGTTCGTTTCCGGAGCATAACTCATAAACCGTTCAATTTTTTTTTCATCAAACTTTGCAGGTCTGTCAGGTACATGCTTAACTGGTGCCCTTTGCTATTGAGAAATTTTTGAAATATTTTTTTTTTACGTTTCCATGGCAAGTTCCACCTCGGTTAAAAAAGGTTAGGGTTTGTTTAGATTTAATTATGTCATAAATTCTGCAACAGGGGCGGGGGATATAGCCACGTAAGTGGCAAACTCTAATATATTATTACAATTACTGGCTTCAAACGACAGAGGGATATATTTTTTAATTTAGGCTTACGTACATTTACATACATTTACATACGCACGCACGCATACATACATAAATACACACCCATAATTTACATACATCCATGAACTCTTGAAGATACAGGTAAGAATAGGCCTTCAGCAACCCATGCTTGCCGTAAAAGGCGACTATGCTTGTCGTAAGAGGCGACTAACGGGATCGGGTGGTCAGGCTCGCTGACTTGGTTGATACATGTCATCGATCCCAATTGCTTGGATCGATGCTTATGATATCAATCACTGGATTGTCTGGTCCAGACTCGATTATTTACAGACCGCTGCCATGTAGCTGGAATATTGCTGAGTGCGGCGTTAAACAACAAACCAACCAACATGCATCCAGGTAATGGTACACACAGCCAAACATACCATGCACACATACAACCAAGAATCACACGTACATACTGAATAGGTAGGACGCGTGTGTATTGATCTGTTGTCTTAATCACTGACCCGTCAGTCAGCATGTATCAAATCTTTATAACCGGTGAGATTGTGATAACTGTCTGAATGGCAAGTCTGAAAACAAGAGTGAGTGAGTGAGTGAGTGAGTGAGTGAGTGAGTGAGTATGGTTTTACACTGCTTTTAGTAATATTCCAGCAGTATTCCAGCAATATCGTGGGACATCAAAATAGGTTTCACACATTGTACCCATGTCGGGAATCGAACCCGGGTCTTCGGCGTGACGAGCGAACGCTTTAACCACTAGGCTACCCGACCGCCCCTCTCTGATGAAGAGGTGAACTGTTGCAAAGTAATTCGGGGTAGAATCAAAATACCGACGAGCTACATGTTTTAACAGTATATATATATGTTACGAATGTGTGTCATTCCTTAATCAGTACGATGTATATTATAAGTATATACACTTAAAAGTAGACACATGTTAATGATAATAATGACAGAGAGATAAATAAATGCAGGTCGTGTTAGTATTATTTCCTAAGTAATTTATAAGATGCCATTTTAAAAACACTTTTTCATGAGGAAAGAAATGATGGTGCAGAAATTAACGTTATAGCCATGATGCAATCGCGTTACTCAATACAATCAACAAAGAACAATATATAGGGTGCCTTTTCACAGTTTTTTCCTTACTTGATATCAATAATTCATTGATGGATACCCAAAAAAGAATTCATATCACAAATTTGATTTTATGATATCATGAAATTTTTACTGATATCGCAAGTCGATTTGAAGATATCAATAACTGAATTTATTATATCAAATAATGTACGTTATCATCTGAAACATCGAATTTGGTATAGTATATATAGTCTCCGTGACCTTATGTCAATTTTGTAATAGTTCGTGTAGATAGCTACAGTATCGTGACATTTACATATATAGTCATATTCAGATGATGTCTCTACATATATGTAAGGGCAAACTTCTTCTCTTTATTCATTCAGTTTTCCTCCTGCCTCTGAATGTGGAATACAGGCTTTAGGATTTTATATGTATCTAGTTATCATTGTATTCTCATGCGGTTTGAATATTATTATTTACTATCGTACTTACTTCATGTTTTACATGAGACGTTTTATATTTACCATAAATTACATTTATTGCCTGTAAGCTCAATAGAATTGGCGAATACTCATGCCATATGACTAGTAAACTATTTACGTACGTTTAAAAAATATATATTGTAAATGCGAAAATGATGTATCTAAGATCAAGTAGAAGATATATTGACAGTAGCGTTTGGAATTTCAAACAACGCTGCTTTAACTCAATGTTTACCTCTCCTGGCGGCCATTATGCAACGCCCATCTAATACACGTCACGTCTACAGGTCTCTTCCTGTGGTACTGTAATTAGTAGAACCCTCTCCCTCAAGTGTAACCTCCATGATCTGACCTACTCTCATGAAACAAATGCTGCCCTTTACCAGGGTTAAACAACAAACCAACAACAAAAAACAACAATTAAAGCCTACTCTGTTTTCAACCTTTACATTAATATATGTGCCTGTTTCGATCCTTAAAGGTGCAATACCACATCTAAATTTTGTACAGGCAGATCTGTAACTCCGGGGCATGAAGCTCTTCACAGCAATAACAATCTTTAAAAAGCCTATACGTACGGAGTTTACTTTTACCAGTATGAACATTATCTTTCCATAGAAGTTTCTGGCAGTTTTTCAGGTATTTTTCCATGAGGACATCTTGTATTTTGCTTGAAATACCTTTCATATTTAAACCAGTGGTGATGTTGAAAATGTGCTGTATGTTTAGGTCGGCCAATTTTGCCGAAAAACGTGAGTTCCAGTTCTTGTGATTGGCTGAAAGCCCTCCGCCCATAAGAAACCAAGTGTATTTAATCAATCAGGCATTTTCTAAAACGACACCATTGTCTAGCTATACATATTCACTGTCTGACAATCGGAGGTATCCACCCTCTATTCCCATTCAGAGCAAAATTAGTTGCATATCTACCCCCTCCCAGAGAAAACCTGATGGCACCACGGTGGTGTTCTGCATTAACAGCAGACAGTCACGGTTACCCCATACAGATGCGCCGTAGCTAAGACAGACCACACCATAGTGTCATATAACTTAGAAAAAGTGCTAATATGCATACCTCCTTTTGTCTTAAACTTGGAAATAAGTAGGCCTAACGCTCTGTTAGCTGATTTGGCCGCAGACATTGCCATTATGTTATAATCAAGATGTTCAGTCAACAGGTAGCTGTAACAGTTAACACTACTTAAAGCCGAACTACCAATAAAAATCTGTTGTGTTTCTTGGGATGCTAGGATTTCTAAAATGTACAACATGAGACTCAAACCAGGATGTAAACATACCATTTACTCTCACACTTCATTTAACATTGCGATAAAGTGACTGAAGCGCTACTAGCATGTTTCCATTGACACCAACATTATGAAGTTTATGCCATAGCAGATTTCTGTTAACAGAAATCATAGGTTTTTTAAAATCTATAAGAGCTGTAAACCAAGATTTTATTATACTTTTTCTAGTTTCTATAATTGAACATGTGTGAATATGGTCCATAGTGGACCTCTTTTTTCTAAAACAATTTTTGGCATCATTCAAAACACCGGTAGATTCTGTCCAAGATTGTAATCTTTGATTAAGGACAGTACAGTATATCTTATAAATTGTATTTGTGCTGGTTAACACTCTATACGATAAGGGATCTGTAGGGTTCAATATACAGCTCTTTTGTATAGGGTTTATTATTCTCATCGACCACTTTGTGGGAATATTACCAGTGCTAAAACAAAGATTAAATATTTTAATCATTGCTGATATAACATTTTGAGACTTCAAACATACAGTAGGAATACCATCTGTGCCAGGCGCCTTCCAACGGTGACTTCCGTCCATAGCTCTAGCTACTTCAAACATTGTAATATTGGCATTAAAAAGGACATGAACATTTTCATCATTTTGTCTGTCATTATCCGCAATTTCGCTGTAGGAACCAGCATCCCCATTCAGCAACTGACAGTAATCTCTCTTCCATTTATCTAGCACTTTCTTCCTTTCCTCACTCACTGTTCCATCCTCTAGCACAACTTTCATTGGAATCTGCTTCTGTCTCTCTCCAACCACACTGATTTTACCTATCTTCTTTCAAAACTCCCGGTCATGGCTTTCACAGCTTTTCCAGCCGTTTGCTAGTCTCACTCATATATGCGTGACCCGTGAAGATTCCGGGGTAGAACAGGTCTTCAGCAACCCATGCTTGGCGACTAACGGGATCGGTCGGTCAGGCTCGCTGACTTGGTTGATGCATGTCATCGATCCCAATGGCGTGGATCGATGCTCATGATATCAATCACTGGATTGTCTGGTCTAGACTCGATTATTTACAGACTGCCGTCATATAGCTGGAATATTGCTGAGTGCTGCGTTAAACAAAAAACCAACCAACCAATAATTATGAGCGCTTAGCTGTTTGAACAGGCTTATCAAACTCCTTTCTCCTCATAACAAAACTATGCTTAAGATTCACTCTGCCTGGTCCATGCTTACATTTACACTACTTTCTTTCCGCCTCACACATTGCATTCCAAAACAAACATAGGCCATCATTCCACAATGGCTTTCCACCTCGCCTCTTTTTATTACTCCTCTTCCCAAAAACAATGAGCGAGAACTTAACTTCTCGTGCATTTCATTCTTAACTAACCCAGTTAACCTGTCAGATCAGGTATCGAGATCAATCTGGGAGTGAGTAGGAGCCTCAAGTTGTAAATTGATATCATTAGATGTAAGAAAATCACCTGGTACATCCGAAGTACAGTATTTAGTTGCATAAACAACATCCTTCTCCCTAACAGCAACATTTTTGGTGCTAACAAACATGACTGTTCACTCAAATAACGAGTCCCTTGGGCACGCCAGAAACCTATGATTTTTGGCTCGAATCCCGGTTCGCCCCAATTATGTTTTCCAGCACAGACATGCCTTGTCGAATTTTCTGGGGGAAGATAACAAACACAAATATAAAATTTGCTGTTACTGTGGTCTGAGAGCTCTATCCAAAGTATACCTTCATCGGATTTATTTTCAATACCGACACTCTTAAAACTATCAAGAAAAGTGTTCCTAATGAGAAATCTGGTCCAGATCCATGTTTAGCACGGTTATGCAATAGAGTTCTGTTATGTCCGAACCATGTATATCAATTTATTGTCAATTCTTCGTCTTGACGTAGGTGAGTTTCGGCTACAACAATTATATCCAAGTCACGGAATTCTAACAGTTCGCGGCGTAACATGTGACTATTGTTCAGAATGTCAGGTGTCCAGCCAGCAACATTCATGAACCCGCAGACTGACTATCTTCTACCATCCTGGCTCCATGGATTAGAGCCCCTGGTCTGTGTTGCAGGTGATCTCCTGTCCCCATCCATTCCTGTTGGATTCTCTTGGTCTCCTGTCTCCATCAAGCCAGTTTCGTCTGTCCCTGTTGTGTCGTCTGCTCTCTGTCTCCCGACGGTCATGTGCTCGTGAATTGTTGTCTCTATTGTGGTTGTCAATATCACTGTCACCTCGATCCGCTCTGTCCGTGTGTCTGTAGGTGTGTTTGTTATCATCACGTGATCGTGTTAGCTGCAACCGTGAGCTTCTCACCCCCCACCACCGTAGCTATTGTTCTCAGATTTGATTTGTACTGGCGTTGTTGCCGGGTTTTATCGGCTATCACATAGACGTAACTATAGTTCCAGGTATCTCCAAGCTTTCAGGATTTCAATTTTATCCTCATTTGACTTGCAACTATCACCCCTGGGTGGCGAGTATCTGTCGATAGATTTCCCAAAGCTTTGTCTATCACTTTACCTCTCAGTTTCAACCCGTCCTTGATCATGGCATTGACGTTATTTCTAACGTTCTCACCCTCTGTTTCTGCAACATTTCTGAGCACAATGTTTAGTTTTATGACATCTTCCTCTCTACCAACAGCTCTGTTTCTCATTGATCTCTCTATTGAGCACGTCTCTCTCTGTGCACTGTATATGCTCAATACACCTCCTTCACTTTCCTCGTCACATCTTCCCGAATCTCTATAAGTTTGGCATTAAACGTCTTTTCTAGCTTTTTTAAAACATTGTCTTCAAATCTGCCCATGTTCTCCTCGATTCTATCCATGCGTGAAGTGAGAGCGTGCGATATAACATTCATGGCTTTCATGTAATCGCTAAGTTGTGTATCATGCTTCACGAGAGGTTGACAAAGAGACCCAACCATCATTAAGTAATTAGGGTCCAATAGAAACAATGCTCCGTCAAACCTCATAAACATGATCACTGAAAGTCGTACTACAGACGTTAAATGTCAAAATTTAAAAAAATCATTTAAATACCAATAACATTTACAAGGATCATGTATTCTCATTATCGCAAAACATCATGTAGAAGCCACAATAGTACTCATATTTTCCAACACTATCACAACTAAAAATGAGACATCAGCAAGTACATATGATACAATGTGTATTTACATTTTTCGTCAGGATATCAAAAAATTCTCTCCTTGTTACCACCTCCAAGTGCAGCTTAACATGGGTCCTCCTTCGGTCAAAAGTTTGTTTCCCCTGTAATGAGTATGACACGCGTTGCACTCGTTTGACGAACGGGGTGCACACCCATGTTCAATGCGTTGCGCATGGATGTCACAGGCGTGGCGGACGGGTTCCACACAAGTGGTCAATGGGATGCACGTGGGTTGCGTAACGCGTTGCCCATGCATGAAAGGGGAATATACTTTTAGGCAGTAGTGTAGTTATAAATGTATGAGAAGAGTGTAGTGTAGAATATCAGTTTTGTTTAAAATTATCAAGAAGTCTTATCTTAAATAATCTGATAAAAATGTCAATATTCCCTTCATCCTTGCTAATCCATACAAAACCAAACCCAAATTGAAGTAGAATGTTTGAAATGTGTAGCCCATGTGACTCTGCCAGCATCATCAAGAGACTTCAACATTAAATAACATTGATGAGGTAGCCTATATCTATCTGGAGTAATTAATATACACCAGTACTTAACTGCCCTTGACATGTATGTAAGCTGAAGTAGAGCTCCACCACATTCACCCAGTACCATACTATTGCATGTACAAATGTACTTTTACCAACTTTCAGGAAACATTTTCACATCCTTATCTGAACATTTTCAGTAGTTTTACAATATGTTGTTCCCCAGATTTCTGACCCATAGCAAAATATTGGTGTAACCATTGCATCCAAAATCCTGAAAAGATCAGTACAAATAATAATACCTACTCTCTTTTGATACCTGTATATTGCCATTAAGGTTGTATTTGCTTGTGATGTAAAGGGCCTGTCACACACTACCGATGTACCTCACCAGGACTAAACCAGAGCAAAAAAATAACTCTGGCGAGAAAGCACTTGAAAAATCAAAATTGACCGTAGCAATACTGATGTAGTACCGGCGTTCCGGTTGTGATTCCGTTGTCCTATCGTTGTCCTACCGATGTAAGAGCCGATGTGCTACCGAATACCGCTTTTTTGTCACCTTTGTGTTACCGATCCGTCGCCGATGTTATACCGATGTACGACTGTTGACCTGAGCTATAGCAGACTGATACCGTTGCGCTACCGATGCACTACCGATGGGACGATGGAGCTCCGGTATCACGTCGTCGGCGCATCGTTACTACTTCGGTGGTATTCGGCCATACTACGGTATCACATCGATACGGTACAAATTGAGGCCACCGGAGACCCGCCGATCCATTACGGGCCACTACCGGTGCTCTACCAACATTAACGAAGCCATACCGGTGTACTGCCATTGTAATCCCGTTACTCGCTCCGGCAGTGCAACAGCAGAAATTTTTGAGCATGTTCAAAAATTTCTAACGTCGCCTACCGATACTAAATTTGAATCTAATGAATATTTGTCCAAGAGATGGGAGCGATTTATTTCACCCAAGAGATTCAAACAAGTAAATGCATGTTTCGAAGACAAAAAAGGCTGAATTTTCCAAAAATGTTTTCTAACAAAAATCTGATGGTCCATTTTCACAATAGGGGGCGCTGAAGTCATGACTTTTTTGCATTATACTACTTCCAAGTAAATGGATGTTTTCATCAAAACTAAAATAGACAATTTTAATATTTGGTGTCAAAACAAATAGAATTCAATAACATGACCAGTCTTACACACAACTTAAGCGTTCTGATATATTTCTTATGCAATAATACTTTTGCTGGCACAACAAATTGCGAACATAATCACTGTTGACACTTTTCGTTCATTTCCTTTCCTTCGCATTAAAAAAACCTGCATCAATTCTATTTTCTGTAACAAAAATGTGTTAGAAATTAAGATAAATTTGAACCATTCCATTTAAAGTAATTAAAAGGTTATTGTGAAATGAGTGACCACGGTCATATTATAAATGCTGACACAAGGGAGATAACTCTTTGATTTGGTATTCATAAAAGTTGTCATTTGGATACATTTTAGGAAAATAATAGCACCTTAGATAAGAATCTTTAGTTAATTGATTACCAGAAACAAGCTCTGATAGAAAATATAAAGAAGAGCACAAACACATTGCTCAATAAATTTCAATCCAAAGAGGTATTTTACAGCAGCTTCAATTTACAATAATTATTCTTTAGCCTCCCTTATAGCACTTGTAATGAGAATGTCTGCATAAGAAGTTTCATGTCTTAGTGTACATGTAACTATGATAATTAATTTCATATTCATAATATCTTGAGATTCTTCTTGAGAATCGAAATGACCACATGTTTGTATTTCAGACGTATTTCAACTATTCAAATTTTGGCTATCTAGAAGCCATAAATCAAACAGTTACTGACCCCTTTAATTGTTGCCTGCTCTAAGAGTCATGTTAGTATGACACAAATTGTTATTTAAGCTATTTACTTTAGTTCTCTGGATGCTAAGTGACATGTATACCAAGCTGGTACATAAGGTGCACACACGATTTTCAAGTCCAGAAACAACGTTTTCTGGTCGTGTCTGTGACAAGCCTACACATTTAAATGTTGACTTGAAGGCATCTGCTAACTGGACCATTTACAAGGGTCAACACTTTCCCTTTCTAAGGAATGCAGCTGTGTAGTCGCACCGTGTGAAAGTATTTGACACATGTCCTTGCCAATTACAGAAGCAACTGGATTGATGTCGATATAGCGTCTTGTGTTGTTGCAGTTGTTCCCTGTATCAACCCAGACAGGTCCCCCATCCAGGCGTTGAAAGTGATGAAGCAGCAAAACAAGTACATCTGTATCTGATGCCCTAACAGATATGTTTGGAGAATCAAGATTTTCACTAACATTACACAGATTGTGTATAATATAATATGATGAATATGAAATTAATTATCATAGTTACACATACACTAAATACGTTTTGTGTTGGCCAAATAAGACATGAAACTTCTTATGCAGACATTCTCATTGCAACTGCTAAAAGGTACGCTAAAGGATAAGTATTGTAAATTGAAGCTGCTGTAAAATACCTCATTGGAGAGAAATGTTTTTTTGCTTTTCTTTATAGCTTCAAACGGAACTTGTTTTAACTGATAATCCATTAACTAAAGATTCTTACCCGAGGTGCTTTCATATTTCTTAAAATGTATCCAAATGACAACTTTTATGAATACCATTGGAAAGAGTTATCTCCTTTTGTCAACATTTATAATATTACCATCATCACTTATTTCGCAATAACCTTTTAATTGAATGGTTACAAAATATTATCTTAATTTCTGACACATTTCTGTCATAGTAAATAGAATCTATGCAATGTTTCTTTTCAATATGAGGGAAGGGAAATGAACGAAAAGTGTCAACATTGATTATGTTTGCAATTTGTTGAGCCAACACAAGTATTATTGCACCAGAAATATATCAGAACGCTCTTCAAACTTGTATTAACTTGTGGGGACCTCTTGGTGAAATAAATCGCTCCCATCTCTTGGACTATATCCTTCAAACACTTGGCCACAAAGTCAAACAATGCATGACAAGCCTAAGCATAATGGCTACAAAAAACGACCAAATCATGTGTTGACACATCATCAAACGAATGCCTGAAGCCATTCATTTGCGATAATGAGCCATGTCAACCTTGCTGATATTAGCATTGTCAATTTTAACCTCATGTGGAAGAGACAGGTGTTTGTTTAAAGGAAGTGAAGATCCTAAAGTGATAACCTAGCGTTGAGTGCCTGTTTGAGGCCACTGGCCTGAAAGTTTCTCCCTAACCCTCGGGAAAGAATCAACCGCCGAGGAGCAACACATAACCAAGAAGAAGTCATCAGTCTCTGAAAAGATCTCAGAATGAGTCGAAGTAAAGAAACAAACTGTCTGAGACCTGGATTATGATCAAGAACAAGCAAATCAAATTGTAACCGAAGATAGTACCACGGCTGGAGAACTCAGATAAATCCAGAACAAGTCAACTGGGGGATCGGAAGACCAGTCATGGTTGTTAAGCATCTAGTTA